CCTGAACAAATTTTTTAAATTTTTTAATTTAACTTTTTAGTCTAGATTACGTGTTGCTATTTTTTCTGTAGAAACTTAGAGCAGAATGTGTGAATTTGGGGATCTGACCAAGGGATATGGCAATAAGAACTTGAATTCTTTCATCTGAAAAGAACAAACTCCACATTCTAAAGGTTATAATGTTCAGAATGAATGTCTTTAGTCTAGAGGTGGAAATAGAGGTAGACATAAAGGACTTGTACGTAAGAGAGAAAAAAAATTGTAAAACACAGAAACAAATGCATACTATTGATACACACAAATCTGAGTATAAATAAAATAGTACTTTAATTTGGAGCCATGATTCTGAAAATGTAGCAAATAAAGAAATAAATAATCTGTGGCTTTGAGAATTGTTACAAATAATATTTAATAAATTTTACTTTGTAGAACTCAATAGCAGTCATCTAATTTAATAGGAAATCATTTTGCATACATTACTTTATTATTGTTCATGTATAAAGCTACTACAGGTTCATAATCTTTGCTATGTCACCCAAAACCATTTTTAAAATAAAAGATTGTTTTCTCATTATGAACAAATAGCTGTATTTATTTGAAATTTGAAATATTTCTCAATTAAAATCCTAAGTTAACTCTGAAAATTATGAAAAAGTGGACAGGTGAATATGGGTAATTTTTTAAACTTAATTTGAAGAGTGAAGTTTTAAGTCATTTAGTAGGATATCTGTTATGTGAATAAAACATTTTTGAAAATTTCGTACCCAAATAGTAAAACTATTGAAACTGCAGTAGTCATGAAAAATGACCTTTGTTTTCAAGTAAGTATATGTAGAGAAGACTGTTATTAAGTTACCTACCTTCATCAGAAAGATTTTGAGATATGAAAAGGTAAAAATCCTCAAATCTGTTCAAGATAAATGGCCTGAAATGGACAAGAAAAGACATGGGGGGGTTATACTGTTTCCTTTCTCTTTTTGTTTCCTGTTTTCTTTTTTAATTTTATTAAAGTATTTTTATTAGTACATGTTTACAAATTATGGAAATAAGTCTCTTTTGAATCAAACAGGAGAAAAGTTTCCCTACCAGGGACAAGGAATACTTTTCTAGTTCTATACAGATCATCCATTACAGAAAGAAAGACTTGTTTTAATTTTTCTGGCTGTGACAAGGAATACTTTTCTAGTTCTATGTAGATCATCCATTACAGAAAGAAAGACTTGTTTTAATTTTTCTGGCTGTG